TAACCGTCGTTAGCGCCGAGCTTGTATTGTAAAGTCACTGGCTCAACACCGCTAGCTTAGTTGATTCTAGTCTCTTGTTATGCCGCTGCTTTCAAGTCCGGGAGAGTCAAACGGATATAATATGTGGCATGGAATTCACATGATGCAGCCAAGAAATGGAGGAACAGCCTTCGTCATGAAACTTACACTGTTATTGTTGACTTCTGTTGCTTCCAACGGCCGGGCGGAACATCCTTGGGTTTCATATACCCTGAAAAATCGTCGGGAGACCGACCCTGGGTGACAGGCTGTTCTCTTCTGTCTTGCGGACCGGAGGGGAATATCACCAGCTGTACGACTGCAGCTGTGTGAGTGCTGTCTGAGCGCGGTGCTTTCTCAACACGGGCCTAATGTGGGGAAATGGCAATTCACAACATTCAACATGGGTTGGCCTGGCGGACGGAAATCTGGGCGGTAGGCCTTCGGGCCAGGGTCACGACCCACAAACTCGTTGTAAGCAAGCAGGTAAGCAAGAGAGTAATGTTGACCAGTGGGCAGGGGTTTTCGAACTCGTGCCGAGTTACGAGGTACGACCGTGTATGCTAGCGCTAAACATCCGTCAGGTGAAACATCGAAGGTGTTTCGGCTGGTAAAACATCGAAGGTGTTTGCTAGGAACACACCTCAGATGTTTCCGCCGGTCTCGAAGGACTCGAGCTGTAATCTGGGGAGCACATGGCAGAACATGTTTACCTTGCCAGGTCCGTGGCTATTGTACTTTTGAGCCCCACTGCTACTGGAGGGCAGTTTTGGGAAGTGCCCCCCCATCCCACCCTGGAGATCAGCTAGCCAGAGGCTAGAGTTTTTCTCCGGGCGACAGGGGCCTTCCGCCACATCGCTAAAAAGCGTGAGCTGTCCGTGCGAGCTGTTGGTCGCAGCTAAAGCCCCTGCTTAGCTGCTACGACTTCCGGTGGTGCTAGCTGGGAGGGGGCCGGATTTTGGATGTGCTAGCTAGTGTACTCTCCTCTTTTCTTTTGGCTGAGTGCAAGAAGGAGAAGAAGAGAGTTATGCATGCTGGCCTTCATTTTGGTCACGGCCCCGTTACAGTGATTAGACGAGTCGCAGGCATATTGAAATGAAATGCACCAACCGAAGGGGCAGGACGCAGGTTTCTGAATCCAATTACTGGCTCTCCTGCAATCTTTCTGCCTTGTGTATTCACGGGTTGTGTGTCGGCATTGTAAGAGCCTGTAACATGCTGACCCCTTGAAGATCTGCAGGAAGAAGCCAAAGCTGCAACGGAAGAATGCCGGACGATGTCCCATCGCACCATCTTGGAGAACGATAGACAGTCCGTGACTTGGCCTTGACAGAGACCGCCGCAGGATGGCTTGTTGAGCCGGCATGCTTCGAGCTTTGGGGATGAAGACTGATGTCATGCTGCCCAAACTCAAGACTACTCTTAAGACTCCCTGGCTCACCCTAGACTCTTAATTTCTGACATTGTGGCTTTTCCTGCAACCATAGACATGCGCTGCGTGCTGTGCGGCTGTGCACGAGGTGTCGTTGAGGATGTTGCTTTATTGCGGTATGCCGTTATCCCAATCATGAGAAGAAAACTTGCCAGACCTCTGACCTCTCAGCAGGAGCTTCGTAGCGTGACGCTGGCTTTGTCGTGAGCCCAGCTGTCCATGTGCTCGTGCTCGCCCTTCATGTTCGTTTCTAGAAGACATCGAATCCTGAGCTCAACATGTAGGGATCCTTGCAGCCTAGCAGTGCTTGCAAAGGAGCGACTGGCTTTCACTTTTCAAGTGTCCAAGGTGCGAAGAACTTGCAAGCTCGAACCATGCTGCAGAGAGCGTGCTCGAGGACGCAGCACGTGAAGAGAGCGTATACTGTAGGCCGATGAAGGGCCGGCAGTTGTTTGCGAGCCTAATAGATCTGCTGCCAATATTCCGTGTGAGTGAGGGACTTCAGAAACCTCCATCGTGCGTTTTTGATGCAGATGCGTTCATGTCATTCCAAGTATAACTATCTTCTTTCTTCTGAGAGGAGCAGCTGCGCTCGTCCCATGTAGCACAGCGTCGGGTGAGCCAGGGGTCGCGGCTGCGGCTTCTGCTCGGTGAGAATGCACCGCACAGTCAATGAGTCAAGGACGCATTCCAACTTCGTCGTGCACATCATTGCCCTGCCCGAGCTGGGAAGTTGTGCAGCGGTACAGGGACCGGCACAGCCGGCAAAGCATGCCTGGGGCTGACGAACCTGGTATCTCTCCACACTGACAAAATCCAACTACTTCATCAACATCACGCCCAGAATTTCGGAGACTCCAGCTACACCGGCACCAAGACTGCAGAGGCCTGCTCATCCTCGTTGTTGACTAGTCGCACCGACGCTGGCTAAGCATAGTGGGCACATTTGGCGAGGCAGGTGGAAGTGCCACAGTGATCTCTAGATGATGCGAACAAGCAGTCGGTGGTGGCCTTCTGTTGAAGCGCCTGAGCAGAATTTCTCCGACCACAAACGAGCACAACAGGCCGGCGCTGCTCCGAATCGACAGAAGGTGCATCGAGTCGGCAAAAGCAGGGACAGACTCTACAAGCCAAAAGGGCGAGGCGAAATGCCTCGTGGGCTCGCGGACTCCGCTCTTTTGGCTTGAGTCGGCTTGAGGGTAGATGAGGGTAGACGTACGGGATCACGGCAGCTGTTAGCACTCCACGCAGCAACCATTGAATCAGGCTAGTGGCTACGGCTAGTCGTAGTAGAATCTACATTTTGCTTTCTAGGGAGGCTTCGACGACGGAACGGAGCTTACAGGCGGGATGCACGAAAGTAGACACGTCCAGAGCTGCTCCAGCTAGTGGCGAGTGACCTCACAGGATGGACCACCTGACCGAAGAGCAAACTTTCAACCAGGCAGCTCAAGCAATTCTGCAAAGTCGAACACATGGGACGACAGGGACTCCGCTAGACGCTGTTAACTGGTTCAGGTGACCATGGAGTGGGACGGCTACAGCTTGCATCTGAGTGGGCACCGAGCGCAGGGTTTAGGGGCTAGGGCTTTGGGTTTAGGGAAAGAACGTAGCAGTACTTGATGCTTGGTTCCGCAGATCAGCGCAGTACGTTTGGGCGTTGCTGTTGAAGGGTCTTCTTCTGAATGGCTTTGAGCGGCCGGACTTTGGTTCGTGGAAGGCGTGTGCTGGAACCCGAAACTACAAGTTCACAATGATTCCGCCAAACTTGTCTTCGGGTTGCAGTTAAGGAGTAGCATGTTCGGAGTCGACGTGGTGCCTGAGGCTGGACAACTTCGCCGTCGACCGAGGTCAGCATGAGCATAGCAGAATCTCGGATGCTTTACTCGACGATTTTGTATCGAGTCGGCACAAAGCTTAATGCTCTTGCACAAAGCTTTGGGGCAAGGACGTCCTGGGAAGCCACGTTATGCAAACCAAACTGCTGGAGGCCGACGCTGAGCCTCGGCATGTTGCTACCCACTGGCTTCCCTCCGTCTGCTGCAGGCAGCACTTTCAACATCATCGAAGATCGGTGACTTGAGGACAGACGAAACTGCTGCACATTCACTGGACATGGTTACACAGAATGCCTGAACATGTGCTGCCCTGAGGGCGTCGCTGACAGCTGCTAATGATGAGCTGTCTGCCAGTGCCACGATGGAGTCTGCGGCCCGATTAGTGCGATGACTGAACGAGACCCAGCAGTCTAAACCCGTCCGGAGGATAGAAGCCGTGCTTGGAACCATCCATTGCAGACCCACTGTCTGACCATTCAGGTCCGGTTTCGCGGTGGATCCTGCAAGTGTGCTGCTGGTGGATCGGGTGCTGCGTGCTGACAGCGGTAGCAGATAGTTTGCAGCCGATCGTAGTCAATGCAGGCTTTGCAAAACGTTGTCTTCAGCGCTGGGCGTACCTCAGCCAACAGACGTCAAAGACTAAAGGCGCCATGTGCAGAGACGCAGAGATTTTCGGACAAGTTGTGTGCCTTCCATATTTTCTGGTATGGCCAGGCCAGTCACTTCTTCTGACGTTTGCTGCACCGGATAATGTCCATCGAGGAAGCATGAGATTTGCCTCGTCAGCTCAAAATCGAATCCCGCTCTCAGCACAGACCTGCGCAGGGGAACGGCCGTGCTTGTAGGAGCTGAAGTTTCGGTCTGCATCCTTGTGACTGAAGCTTGCACTCATGCCGCCGCACTCAGCCGGCTCAGTCTTCGCAGAGCGACCTTGTACATAGTCTGCAACGCACTTTCGCCACCCGCGCAGCACCCACGCTCGAGCTTTATAACTCGTGCGCCGCTGGCGAAAGTGCTTTGTTGCTCTGAAGAGTCGGTTGCAGGCCGTTTGACTGGATGTGATTGTCACCAAGCAGAGAATGCAAACAGCTCGACAGCCTGCAAGCACTGTAAAATGAAGTCAAGCGATGCACCATGATTTCCTCTTGCATCTCTTCCACCCATAGCTTTAGCTCCTGGCAGCTGTTAGCTGAGAGCTGCGGCCGCTGTGCCGCTTCCTGTGGATCGCAAGCTTCGGACCGCAACCAGTGTGCATGCTGCTTTCTCCAAGCTTTACACTGCTGTGCAGTGTTGGGAAGGACAGCGGTCAATGCTTGCGGAGATGCAGGAGTTTAAGTTTGCAATGAAATGCAGTACAGAGCACGTCGGCCTTCGTCGGCCTTCAGCTTGTGCCGGTGGGCAGGACCTTGATGCGAAGTGGGGTCACGAAGACAAGCGGGAGGTGGGAACAGCGATCCGCATGTTTAACGTTTTACGGAACAGCATTCTGAGTGGCAGGGCGAGGAGGCCTCTTGGTTGGAGTCGTTTCCTTCGCAATGGTTTCTGGCAAGCTCCCTGGCACTCTCGTCGGATTCGATTAAGTACTGTTGCCGGCTGAAATTTTCAGGATGCAGGGGAGCCCCTGCTACCATTTTGGATTGATGAGAACGAGAAATCCGAGCATGTCGCCTTAGCCTTACCTGCAGGTTTCGGGGAGACTTGAAGCGCCGCGACGCGCAAAGCCAAGGAGGCAATCTTGGAATTTCACACTGAGCCATGTGCAGACTTTCTGCGTGGCTTCTGCGCCAAACATGGCATCCGCGGCAAGGCTCCGGTTCACATGCGAGATTTTCCGTAAGCAGTCGGAGCAGGTTTGGGCTGGGTAGTGAAGGGATTCCGAGCCGTGGAGCCGTCTGGGTCAGACGAGTGCGACAAGCAATCAATAGTACGATTTCGATACTCGACTACTGGGCGAATGGTCCTAACGGATGCAGAAAGACTGTGGCCTTATACGGGCCGCTTGGAATTATCCAAATTCGCAAGACGTTGCATAAACACTCGGGCCATGAAGGCGCTTCAATGCCGGGGATTTCATTTTGAGCTGGAATCTTATTTGAGAGGGGACAGCCGTCAGCATGTGGAAGTCGTTTTGGCTTCTTGCCGATCGTGTGAGCTCTGAGTTCGCAGCGTCGACGCAAGCCCGTGGATCTCACAACCGGTCAGCTGTGACAGCCTCAGACCTCGAATATGCTGCGACGTCCGAAGCATCCTGTTGAAATGAATAGGACATACTGGGAGACGCCCTGCCCTTCGTGGACAATGGAGATGGGCTTTTGCCAGGGCCTCAAAGTGCTCACATACACCGGCTCGTCCAGCATCGAGAAAGGTTGCATGGCGGGAGATGCCTGTCCTTTCGCCCATGGTCGGGAAGAGGCAGCTCTCCTCTCGTTAGCGCTTCAAATCACTGCAGGACGGGCGGACTCCTTGTCATCAGGTCTCTTATCACCCAGCAAAGTACAAGACACGGCCATGCAATGGCGTGCCCCTCGGATGAGTCTCAAGACCCGCAAAGAACGCGTGTGCTGCTGACTTGAGGCACTGACTGTCGTGGTGAGGGGGCATGCTGCTTCGCTCATGACGAGACAGAGATGAGGCCACGGCTCTTGGTGCTTCCCTTTCAGGTCATGCCCTCTCCAATGAACTCGCCCCCCAAGCCAGTCGTGATAGCATGTGCTGCGAGCTGTTGCCAGCAGGAAAGAAGGTAGTGTGCTTGGCGAGGCAAAGTGCTCCAGGGAGATACTCATACTTCGCGCTGTCGTCGTGCTATGCTCAAACGTTGCCTCTGTAAGGCCACTGACAATTGCGCTTGGCATAGCCTGAGGTCAAAGGTGCGGGCTGGTGGCTCTCGAGCTCCTAACCTGGAGACAAGCAGGTGTGCAGACGCAGGTAGATGAGCACATCAGAAACATGTCTCCAGAACTGCAGCAAGGCGAGCGGCGGACACCGGTACCCGGTCAGGCAGGAAGCGATCTTGTACTTCGGGTAGGCCATCTTGCGCTCGTGCCTGCGCAGGTGGGGCTTTGAATCCAAAAGCCCGATTCTGTGCATACTATCCGCGCCCTGCCTGATCAGACAGTCTTCTCAAGCATCCAGTGGTCTCACCCCCGGGAGACCCTTTTCTTGAGCTCTGGTGAGGCATGTTGGCCAGTGCCGGCGTGGCTCCTCGTGCTCTTTCGCGCACACTCGAGAGGAGGTGGATGAGCATGTTGCTGTGGAGCAACGGCGAAGAGCAAGCACCACGACAGGTTCAAATTCCGCTCCTGTCTGTTGCGGAAGAAGAGCACGAGGAGAGCGCGATGACGCCGGACTTCTTTACGAGGACTGCACCAGTGAATTTGCATTCCTACATTGGGGCTGACAAACAACCGAGGGCCGAGTCACGGATGCCAAGACTATGCAACGGTTGCCCGATACATTGCTTTTAGTAATCTCGGCCAGCACAAGGAAATTCAAGACAACATGGTGTCCAATCGGCGCGGGGCACAGAGCACAGAACAAAGCTGTCTACTTCATACTGTGATGGTGTGATGACAAGACAAGTTGACGGTGCAGCTCCGAGCTCAGGCGCGCAGCACGATTGGCAGATTTGCGTGTTGCCCCGAGCGCTTTCGCTCCTGCTGTACCATGGATCGGTCGGCTTGGAAGCTGATTCTCGATCAGCCGTGATCGCTTCCATGAAACCTTGAAGAGAGTTGCTGTGAATACCCGTAAGTAAGGAGGTGGCCTTGACACAGCGTCTGCCTTCAAGCCCCATCATGATGAGGGTTGCAAACCCTGCGTCCTGAAAGCACCCACAAAACAGGCTGCAGGAGTGGGCCATGCCAACCCGAGGACGAACCGCCTTACAGCGACTGCGCTCTGAAAAGTAGCTCGCGGAAAGCAACAATCTCCGCCAAACAAGAAAATGCTGTGAAAGCCGATGTATGCCCGCCTGCACTGTGGGGAGAAGCGTTTCACTGGGAAGCACACTGTTCTTAGAATACAAGAATGGTCAAAAACATCAGCACACATCGGCGCTTGCGAAGTTTTTTTTGGCATCCCACGTGCTTTCATGTCGAGAGTGCCCAATACGGAAATATACGGAAGTTCTGTGCGGAGCTTGCTGCCCCGCTGCTACAGAAGTTTTCTTGAAACGACAACTCTTCCTTTTCGGTAATTTGCTGAGATCATCATACGACTACTCCATTGCGACCGCGCGGGGACCACTCCTTGCACGGCTCTGCATTTATTCGTGGAGCGCTGCAGCCTGCCACAAGCATGTGAATAGAGTGGGAAGGCCGTGACGAGCGTGGGTCATATCTGCTAGGGACAAGGCATGTAAATTCCTTGAGAAAGCCAACGTGAGATAACCAGACTTGTGCAGAATCCTCATGTCTGGAGTGATGCGACGTGCCAGTTTACCTGTCCACGCGCCGCCGGGCGTATGACCGACCGACCAGCGGCTATGCGGAGTTTCCGGTCAACAAAAAAGACCGACCGATTGACTGACTGACTGACTGACTGACTCATTGACTCACTGACTCACTGACTCACTGACTCGCTGACTGACTCTGCATGTACGGTTTTGCTTCTTTTTGTATGCCCAAGTCCCGAGTGCAATGTGTTTCAGAAAGCCTCTTTTGCAGTTCTGGTGCCTTGCGGTGAATGTTGTCGAGAGTCGAGGGTTTGGTTTGTCCCGGCGGCTTCCTTGCTTTGGCTTGTACTCTTCGATAGCGGTGAATGTTGTCGAGAGTCGAGGGTTTGGTTTGTCCCGGCGGCTTCCTTGCTTTGGCTTGTACTCTTCGATGAGGTCTACGCGCATACGTATCAGGCCAGTGCTGTTACCTGTGGAAGGGCGGTGCTTTGATAGTCTTGAATCGCAGTCTGAGAAGATGGAGATGCTACGTTCGAGCCAACGCATCCTGCCAGGATGCAAGACGTGAGGCCTGCGACTGATGGTTTGGGCATCATACCGTCTCGGCGTCATGCTCTGCTGCTGCGAGCACTATCACTAACGCGGCAATTGGCAATCTTCGACACGCCAATGCTCGTCTGCACAACCTGATCTGAAATGCCAGCCATCGATTGGCTATGGGCCACAGCCATGCCCTTTCTGGGGAAAGAAGGACCGAACACGGGATGCTGCCTCATCTCATCTTGGTGCAGCGCAATGGCAGTGTGTATCAGGACACCCGAGTCCGCCTCCTGGTTCTCGCTCTATCACAGATATCACAGAAGCACCATGTGTGTGTGTGTGTATGTTCATTGCCTGTGAAGTTTCTACGTGCCAAGATCGTGCTGCAAGCTCCAAGGTCTCGTATTCGCAACGTTGCCCTTTGGGGCTTCGCTGCCCGTATGCCCACGGTGCGAAGGCTCCTTATGTGTTACACATAGACGAGACGAGGCAAATGCCTAAGATGTGCTTCGCATGGCAGGAGCAGCTCTACCATCCGAAGTATTTCAGGACCGCGCTAAGCCGCCAAGCTACAGGTATCAATTCTAGGTCTCGGAGTGCGAGTTGCAGGACTGTTACCTGCCGAGACATGCAGATGAGGGGTCATCCCTGCTCTCGTTCCTTTGATGGGTGGTACTGGTAAGCGTTTGCACTGGCAACATCTGCTGGGGGAGAAGAGCATAGTGGATGCGAGACGGAAGTTGGAACGTCATGTTATGCTCTTTGCCAGGGTGTCCTCGGCAGAGGCTGTGTGCCTTCTACCACCGAAGATCAGAGCATCGAAAGTGCTCAGCCTCGGCATTTCCGGCAGCTGGATTCCAAGAGGCTTGAAGCAAGGTTATGCGTAGAACATGGTTGCGCAGGCAGACTGCGGACACTCACGACTACGACAGTCCGCTTCCAGAAGAGGTGAAGACTTAGAGATTCCTAAAGCGTTGTCAAGCAGATAATGGTATTATCCGATTGCTGAGCAGTGAGGCCATTGATCCGACGTGGGCCGAGACCTTTCTAAACCCTCCTATCTTCCAAGATGCAGAAGATGAGGCCAGCTTTTTGAAGCCAAGCTACTGAATCTGCTACCGTAATCTCCCAAAGCTGTGGAGGTGCCACAACTCATGACTGCTGGAAGACTGGCACAAGAGGCGCAAGCATGCACTAGCCGAGGTCCAGGTTTTCTCTAACAGTTTACTGTAGGAATTTTCGTTCGTTTGAAAAGGAATGCCGACATTTCGCACTGTGGGTAGGTGGCCAATGCCGGGGTTGTTGACGCTTGTCTCTGCTTGCCTCCCTTTGCCTACCCTTCTTGGGAGAACTGTTTGCTTTTTTTTTTGTGGGGGTAATCTGATTTGATGACGAGCTGCAGGCCGTGGCCGAACCTAAGGCCGGTACTCCAGGCGCTCAGAAGCGGAGAGAAGCAGCAGTGAGGAAGATTTAGGCCTCCAAAGCGCTTTCGGAGAGCAAGTCTTTGCCTCGGGAGATGCAGGTGAAGCCTCCTCGCAGGAGGCTGGTGGCATGCTCTGTTGCGTGTCACGACGTCCGTGATTTTCGTTGCTTGCAGGCCTTCGCTCCATTGCCTAGAAAAGTGGCGATACAAAGCGCAGCACTTGCCAGCCGAGTGCCTGAGCCACAGAACAACCGCAGAGAAACGGAGAGGGCATTTCGGCATGTCCGCTGAATCCAGGGGCGAGGATGCTTTGATGGACCCTGATGCAGCGACCCTAGCGTTCCGTCGCCACCATGGCAGTGAGCAAAGACCACGTGAGGTAACAGACATGTGAAGTTTCGAGGACAACTTGGCGTCACTGAGCTTCTACCACGCCCAAATAGTCGCGCCTTCAGTTGACTGGCAGCGGCAATGCTGTGTGAGCAGCTTAAAGGTGTTTAATTAAGCTGAGTCCATTTGGAAAGTGGTGCTGTTAAGAGTTCGGGGGTTGAGGCCAGCCAAAGACAGCGGCACAATCGTGCCGATCTAAGCTGTTGCTCCTCGCCATTCTGCGTTGCAGCTCGGGAAACTGAGGGCCTGGAGATGGCGAGATGCCATGGTGGCCGGTCTCGGACCTGGACCGGGGCCATGGGCAATGCGAGCCCGTGCATGTGGCTTGTAGCTGCTTGTAGCTTTGAGGTACCTGGGGTGACTGGTGCCTTGGCAGACCTGCTTTAGCTTTCATCATCTTGCCGCATAGCCGTCGCCTCTTAGTGCGATGATGTTTCCGTGGCACGGCCGCTCGTGCTCGGTACTGTGAAGACGTTTGAAAATCCCTTCAATTGGCTGTTCCGGCCTTGTACATACACTTCGAAGATATGAATTCACACAAAGCAGGCTTGCTGCTTTGGGCTGCATGCCGCAGCACTCCAGTGGCTTTCGGTTTCCGGGAGGATTTCCGTTTCTGGAGATCTGACTGTAGAGCACTTCCTCTTCCATTGCATGTCAGCTGCAGGCGCTCGGACTTGCGGTATTCCTTGGAGCGATGTGAAGCTTACTCAGCATGAGCAGAGCCACTTTATGTCAACATTGGCTTCAAGCAACGGCCCTGCTGATTCTCATGAAGAGTGTCAGCTGTGAGCCCTTGTCCCGAAAGGCTCGCAGCAAGTTTTGGGAGCTGCTCCCATTCTCAGGGCCTTCAGCGCGGCCTTTCAATGATCGTGACAGGCGAGCTCAAGCAAATGCCTCGTAGTTTCAAATTCGTCCAAGAAGGAATTCAGGCGCATGTGCTGTGTGAGGGTTGCTGCCAACTGGCTTTTGTAGCATACGGTTAGAATGGTCAGTGCATAGTATAACAGGAAGTGGCGCAGCACCTTTGATCCCTCGGTACACAGCCAAAGGTAGACATTGAACTGTGGAAACCGCTTGTGCTGCAATGCTGAATTCATCATGACCTGCCGCATGCAACATGCAGCTGCAGCTTCTACTGTACTTGCTTTCGCTCGCTTTGCAGGATCCTGAGCGATGGTTCAATCAACGTCAATTCACGCTCGACTCAGGTTCCAGCAGGCTTAGGGCTACGGTTTTGGGACTTTCGGGCTGAAGAAGTGCCTCTAAGCATCTCTCAACGCACGTGAAGGCTTCACCACTTCACCCGGGTCATGGAAGAACACTGGAGCAAGCTGAGCAAACGCCCACCCGCAACCGCAGCTTTAGGAGTGGCCAGCAATCGTAGGGACACTGGCTTGGGTTGTGCTCATTCGGGCCGCAGAATGGACAAGGCCGCCCACCATGAGAGTGCACTGATGTGACTGAAGCGGAGCTTTCTCCTGAAATGTCGGTAGTCAGGCACATGTCGAAGACACGCGAAGGAAGAGGGAGGAGAGCATGTGGGAAAGGTTGGAAACTGAGTTTGAGAAGGGCTTGCCGCGCCATGAGGAGATACAAGAATTGCAACAACGGAGCCGTGGCATGCTCCGACACCTGGCTGCAGCCGATCACCGGTGCTTGCAGCAATCCGCCCCAACGCAAGCGCATGCAAGCGCCAGGAATTGTGGCAGCTGGCGGCCGAGCATCGCAGGCAGAGAGGCGATGGAAGAGAGAGCGCTGCCGTTCAGCAATTCTGGAGGCGCCCGAGGAGACGCAATCTGAAGTGAAGCTCCTTCGAGCCGAGCTGCAGGACCAGGCCAGGCTAGGCCCAGACAGTATAAGCCAAGAAGCCACTCGGCGGGGTGTTTTCAGATGGCCCGCCAGAAGCACGAGCTGGCGGCTTGTCGGAAGCCTCGGCCCAAGGCATTTGCTACGAGTTGCCTCGCTGTCTAGAGCCTGCGAGCAGGTCAATCCATGAGCTGTCCATCCAGCGCACCAAGTCTGAGGTGCTTCAATCGATTGCCCGGAGACCTTAGAAGCGTAGCGCCACGTCAGGCTTCCATCTCGGTGGCGCAGGAGGTGGACCGCCCAATGTCTGCTTGCTGGACACTAGAAACTCGACCTCAGTAGCAACGTAGCCATGCTGAGGATCACTATCGCACCCCATCTGAAAAGCTTGAGACATGTACTTCCGACTCCCAGAGTGCCGCTAGTGACCGCTGCAGATCTCAGACTTTCACCAGAACATGTGTTCTCGCGAGTGATTTCTGAACACGTGATTGTGTTTGCGGAAGGACTCACTCGTCCTTAGTGCTGGCATTGTCTTTGAATACAACTACGTATCAACGTATCACATGTGTTGAGATCCTCTGAAAAATCATCCTGGTGCACACGCCGAGCTTGCAGGCAGCTTCCGAGAACAGATTGGCTGAGAAGAGCTGTCAGCTACGTGCCTTGACATTTTCAAAGATCTTTCTGCCGGCAGATGCAGGGTTGTTGCAGAAAAGCAAGTTCAGGTTGGCAGAGTGAGCACAGAATGTGGTCTGAGGAGACATTCCCTCAAGTGCTCAGCGCTTTAGACATGTCTGGAGTGGGTTCTGACTCCCAGAGATGGAATCCGCAGATTGCAATCCCTCGGAGGAGCGCAGAAGGCTGAAAGCAGCCAATCAGAGCAAGCAGCCCAGTCTACGGCGTACGGTTCTGTTTGGAGGATGCAGAGTCTGCTGAACTGCATTTGTAGATACCATTACTGTGATCAAGGAAATCTGCAGGAGGAGGTGGACAGGTTCGAGCAGTGCAGGTTCGCATGCTTGATCCTTTCGGCAAGCGTGGCGGGGATGCCAGCCGCGAGTTTCTGGTGGAGGCAGCGGATGTCGCAGGAGATGATGTCGTCCAGACGGAAGCTGGAAGGGGAAGCTGCAGCCTCGAGAGCAGTTGCAAGACTCATACCTTAAGCCTCTTGTGTCAAGGCTCGCGAAGCAAGGCAAAGACAACGAGCTGCCGAAGGTGCCGCGCCTGTCTTAAGTAGAAATTCAACTGCATGGCGGCACTCTGCCGTGCCGGTACACCTCGAAACTTCTGCGATAGAAGCTTGGCAGGCAAGCTAAAGCGCATGGAAGAAGCCGAGGACGAGCAACTCATGTCCATTAGACACATGCCCCTGCTTGATAAGCTGACCTAGCTCCATGAACAGGAGGTTCATCTTTCGCATGCGGGCGAAGTCGCAGAGGCTTTTTCGAAAGTCCCCAAAATATTGAAAACGCAGCTTCTTCGCATCTTCGGATTCTCCCTTGCAGGCCCGGTTTCTGCAAGAGACCGCTGCCCAGGAGGCCACGGAATCGTGGCTTTTGTCGGAGTCCTTGCAACAAAGGGGTCTGGACACAGCCATCACAGTTATCACTCACTCGGTTTTGAATGCTTTTTGGCCGAGACAGCTGCCGGCATCTAGTGTACTAGTACCCAGTTTCTCAACAGTTGGCTGAAAGGCACAAAGATTGCGGGAGCAACTGGGTCAAGCTGAAGCTGAAGTATGGAGCTCAGCCAGCGCTGCGTGGTACTGTGAACAACCATTCGGCTTCGAAAGGTGCTGTCTTTCCGGAGTGTCCGCTGCGCTTCAACACAAGAGTGCCATTGGCGAAGGTATTGGCGCAGCAGATGGACTTCCGTCGCCAAGTAGATGCTTCTGCCAGGCTTCAGGACGAGCTTCACTAGCTGGCACTGACTTGATACTGTAAGGGATCTGTAAGTGATGCCTGTAATGAAGAATGCCAGGATGCCGGCAGCATGCGGCAGCTGTAGGCTAGTTTTGGCAGATGTAGGTGTCAGTTCAAGATATCGACGCCGCGTCGTTGCCTGTCACTCGTTGTGTGTTGCGATAGAAGCTAACCCCCGTTGATGAGCAGTTGCAGCTGTGCTTGGCTCATTTTCGAGGACTCTTTCCGCCTCGAGTTGGTGGCCGCCGCATCTGCCCGAGAGGCATGCCCAGCGCTGCTTCCCCCTTCAACATTGAGATCTGATGTGTGATGTGGAAGGCAATGGTCCGGGACTGGCACTCGCAGAAGCGTCATCTTCTCCAGGCTGGATCGCAAGAGGCAGCGTCGTGCGGCTGACGATACAGTTTGACATGACAGGCGATTGCCGCGGACAGGAAAGCGGAGGAAGAGATAGCTGAAGAGCAGGTCTGCGTGAAGCCCATGGCTTCCATGCTGCACTGAGTGTGTAAGAGGCTGGCCTGGCAGAACAAGCGGCTCTCGTTGCAGCAGAGAGAGCACTTGAAGTGCGCCGATCACTTTGATTTCTGTAGGTTCATTTCTGTAGGTTCAAAGAAGACTACTCCCGCACTTCCAATACAGGGAGATGCTCGGGGGACAGTCGAGGGCCTCGAAGTGCTGCCAGCAGGTACAGCGCCTGCAAGGCCTCTGTGAGGACGGACAGCACGACGTGCAGAAGCTCCGGGAGGACGGAATACACCAAACAACTTTCCAACTTCTGCTTGAAGCTGCGTTTGCAGCACTGCAGGACGTGGCAATGCTGGAAGATGCTGAGAGGTGCGTCCCCCATCTCCAAGTCTGTTCATGTAGCTTCAATGGATGCATGCATGATCATGCAGGCATGCTTACATATGTACATACAGGGCCTTATGTTTGTCTGGCCAGGACACTGATCGGCGAGTTGAGTTGGCAGAAGGAGATGCGGGAAGAAGACATTGCACGGCTCCACACCGCCTGTGAGAAATCCTTAGAAGGTCTGCCTCTGGAATTTTACCAGGAACTCTGCTCGCAAGAGTCAGGTGATTTGCGAAAGGTGCCTATGACAGTCACTCGGTATGGCCACATGCTTGAGGCTGTCGGAGGTTGTGTGAAGACTCTCTTGAGGGAAAATGCGGAACTGCAAGAGGCTCGACGATCTAGTTTGGCCTCATCCCCGCTGATGCAATCCAGCGACTCCGGGGTGTCACTCACTCATTTGGCTCTGACTCCATTGAGCAGTTGCGCACTCGGCAGAGATTCCAACTCAGATCGGAATCGCAGTTCGACCGCCTCAGCAGCGAGACCTCGCGAGCATCACCGCGATGCACCAGAGCTCACTCGGCAGGTATTTGCAGCCCATCAGGAGCTTGCACAGTCACGTGAGGAGATGAGACAGTTCATGGTGCAGCGAGACCTGGAGCGGGAGATGAGCGCACGAAGGTCCAGCCTGGAGATGCTGAGAACACAAGAGCTCAGTGAGCTAAGCGACCAGAATCAGAAATACTTGGCCGAGCTCCAGGTTCTCCGCGAAGAAGTGCGCTCAAAGCAAGAGTTTGACGATACCAAGGCGCAAGTCATGGGCCCCGCAATGTTGAGTACAGCCGTCCTGGCTGAGGAAGAGCTTGAGAAGGTGAACAGAACAGTGAGAATTTCCCGCGCCGGCTGCGATGCAACCAGCTCACTCCTCTCCACGAGCAAATCGCTTGGAGAGGCACACGTTTGGCCAGTGGAGACACTAAGTCCAGCACCCGACGAGATCACCAAGTCTCGGTGGCGCCGCGACGGAAGTCGAGACGCCTCCGCAGAGACATGCGAATCGTCAGTACTCGGAAAAGTACCTTCCAGGGTTTGGAAATCCAGGTCAAGGGATAGCTGTGGCACAGGCCAGGAAGTTGAAGGGCTTGTGCAGCCGATGCCTTCGACTAGTGAGGGCGACAGCGATCGGGCTCGCATGCAGGCAGCAAAGGCAACAACATTGGAGCGTGCATTCTGTTGCGCGGAGCAGCTTTGTGAAAGGCAGCAGTACGCAGAAGCCTTGCCACTGCTCGAAGAGGTCGCCCAGTATTGCGATGGAAGCCCAGAGATGCTCGGCACCACCAGGATGAAGATGTCGGATGTTTGGGCATACATAGGCGTGGCCAGCCAGGCAGAGGGTCTGACAGAGAAATCAATCGCATCGTACCGAAAGGCGATTCGCGAAGATTCCGCTTTGCATGTTTGTCATGCTAACTTGGCGATGTTGTTGTCGTTCCAAGAAGAGCACATGGAAGCCCAGCATCATATGAGCCTTGCGCTGGCTATCGATCCTCAAAATCACGCGTATGCTAACTTGGCAATGGAGTTGAGGAATGCATTGCAAGCAGGTACTTAACAATGCGGCCAATGCTGACCTACGATCCCCGGACTGAGCGCACCGTAATTGGACGGTTCATGCCGCCGTCGCATGCTGTCGCTGAAGCAATGCCTGCTTTGTTTTCCAGGAGGTTTGGTGAGGCACTGTTGAGTGCTGTCGGTGCTATTGTGGCTGGCTGAAGTTGTGCAATACAAGTCGGTGACGCAATCACAGACTCGGGCAAGACTCGGGCAAGTCGCTGCCGGGAGGACTTGGACCAGAAGTGAAAATCAGGAGTGAAGGCTTCCAGGACTACCGCCGCGATTGGCGTTCTGGCCCATGCTCATTATGCTCGTTGAGGACACTCGAAGAGCGGGCACTATCTCGCATAGAATTGTGAAATTTAAAATTGTGTGTAGAGCATCAAGACGCCGCAAGCAAGGGCCGCAAGTCTCTGAAGGCACCGCCTCGAACGGAGTTTGCATCTACTGGTAACATCGCTTGGTATGCAGACTCAGGCTAAGAAGCAGGTTTTGGTCTGTGAAGGCATCCCTTGCGCAGCCCTTGGAGGCCTGCCCTCCCACCTTCCCGCAGCTGACTCCTAGGGAGTAGGCTTTCTGCTCTGGCCAGTGTTCGCTGGTCGATCACAAAGAGACTTTCATAGCCAGCTTAAGGATTCGACTCTGGACTGCTGGCACTGCCATTGGGAATAGCTTCGGTTTGTTTCTGTTTCCAAGAACCACATAGATCCACATAGCCTATCTGGCCTGCTCATCTAAATACTCGGTGAGGCTGCGTGTGCTTATGCATGTAGCTGAACATCCGGGCGGCTTGCGTGGGCAGAAGCGGTTGATCTGCCCGTGCAGATCTTCCCCAAGGGGTGGTGTATTGGAGGATGGCATCGGTCCGCGAAAACTAGGTTCCGAGTGCATGTGGTGAGGGGAGCTGGATATTCGGCTGGTACTGTCAGGCACTTACTTGTCCCTACACAGTGTGTCCACCCCACCCGGAAGACAAGACTTTCGGCAGAAAAGCACAAAACCGGAACGCTCTGGAGGCTTACTGGTTCTGTTCAGGGTGTGGGGTTCAGCATTCAGGGTTTCAGGGTGCACGGTTACGGGTTTGATTTTAAAGGCTGCGGAGCTTGGGGTTGAAGGCACAAAAACAACCCCAAAATCCACGCCGCAAAAGCCCCTAGAAAAAAATACCCAAGATCGAAACCCAAAATCCCAAACCCAAAAGCCAGAACCCCCGAACGCCACGCGCCGACACGCGAAAAGCCTCACGAAAGCGCGCCGAACGGCACCCATGCCCTTAGCCCGAACACGGGGTCTTGGGTTTCAGCATGCTGCAGCCGACCTTGCTTTGGCTTGGATTCAAGGTTTACGGTTTATAGGAAGACAATTAGGGCCATTCTCGAAAGTTCTACGAATTTGGTGGTAGGGTTGGTGGGTTTTTTTGGCTCGGAGGTTTCGAATTGCTAGGTTTTGGAACTTCAGGCTTTTGACTTAAAAGTCTCTCTTCCTTCGGACTTCGCAGCGGATTGCTTACTCAATCGCAATCTGGTTGCAGAAGCTGCCTTAACGTTGAGGGTTTGTAGGGATTGGCTTTCAAGGCTTTGCAAGCGTGTTGCCTTCACTTGCCAGGCATTCAACTTTTGGAGGATCTGGAGGTTAAGAGGGGGGAGAGCTGAGCTGTGTATGGCCTGCGGCCACTGCTTCAGGTCGGGTGGGTAGGGGGGGCTGGTACTCTCTAAGAAACAGTAAGATAGCTAAAGGCGAATGGCATGAGATGTAGTGGCAGTGGCTCTAACTAAGACTAATTTAGGGTCGCAGGCAATGACACTGGCGGCAAACAAGAATGGTGTTTGCAGCAGAGAAGAACAACAGGAAAACTTATGACATGATTCCAATTCCCTTCTCTTGTGACACGGCTCTGCCCTGGCCGCACCCGTTCCTCTCACCAATCTAAGCAGGATTGTAAATGATGTTCAAGTAAGAGGGTACGTAGGGAGTGACCACGGCACCTGTACTGATTCGACAGCCTCAGCTTATCATCGTCCGACCGGAGCAAAAGCCTGGGAAACAAACTCTACAATGCATGTCCTCGAAACTCGAAACCGGACTCCTGATGTGATGGGACGCTGCAGACATCTTTGGTTCATAGCTGTGCAAAAGCTGAGAACACTGCGATGCAGGGGCGCAACTTCTTGACTCTAGAGAAGCCTCCATTGCATTACTTGAAAGCCTGGTAAGCCATAGAGGTGGCATCTCCTAGGGCTCCAGCCATGCATGAAGCGGACTGGCAGGCCGCCTTTCGTTTGCTGCAAGAGCTGCGAGAGCTCCGCGAGGATCACAAAGGGGCGCGTTGCAAGACAATTTCGTGCTTTGGGAAGGCCAGACACTGGCAAACCGCACTGGAAGTCCTCACTGACTCCCTGGCCACAGACACGCCAGACGTTTACACATTCAGTGCTGCCATTACCGCTTGTCAGAAGGGACTGCAGTGGCAGCAATCCCTTCAGCTTCTCTCGGACATGCAGTCCCACCGGGTCTTGCCAAACGTGTTCAGTTGCAGTGCAGCTATCAGCGCCTGTGAGAAGTGCTGCGAATGGCAGATGGCGCTTTACTTGTTGTCGCAGATGCCGGCAGCCAAAGTAGTGCCCAATGAAGTAAGTTTCAATGCAGGCATCACTGCTTGTGCCAAGGTTGGCAAATGGCAGATGGCCATGTACTTGTTGTCGCAACTTACTGCAGCTAGTGTGGTGCCGACTCAAATCAGCTTTAATGCTGGCATCAGTTCATGTGAGAAGGGCTGCCGATGGCAGATGGCCTTGTACCTGTTGTCGCAGATGCCTTCAGAACGAGTGTTGCCCGATGACATCAGCTTCAATGCGGGTATCAGTGCATGTGAGAAAGGAGGCGAATGGCAGATGGCGTTGTTTCTCTTGTCACAAATGTCTGCCGTAGGGTTACAGCCTGGCGTGATCAGTTTCAGTGCGGGCATCAGTGCCTGTGAAAAGGCCGGTGAGTGGCAGATGGCTTTGTCTCTGTTGTCGCACATGCCTGCAAGGCGAGTGGTGCCCAACGAAATTAGCTTTAACGCAGGGATCAGCGCGTGTGGGAAAGGCGGCGAGTGGCAAATGGCCCTTTATCTGTTGTCACAAATGCCCTCAGCCCGAGTGTTTCCTAACGGAATCAGTTGCAATGCAAGTATCAGTGCATGCGAGAAGGGTGGCAAGTGGCAGATGGCTTTGCATCTCCTGTCGCAAATGCCGTCGGAACATGTCGCACCTACGGTGATAAGTTTCAATGCCGGCATCAGTGCCTGCCAGAGGTGCAGCGAATGGCGACAGGCACTGTATCTGTTGTCGCAAATGACTAGAGTCCGAGTGTTGCCTACTGTTATCAGTTGTAATGCGAGCATCAGCGTGTGCGAGAAAGCCGGCGCATGGCAACTAGCTTTGTGCCTTCTGTCACAGATGCCAGCATTCCAGCTGTTGCCAGATGAAATCAGCTGCAATGCAAGCATCACTGCGTGTGACAAAGGCGGAAAGTGGCAAACGGCCCTGTTTCTCTTGTCGCGCATGGGTGCAATGCGAGTGGTGCCCAACGAGATCAGTTTTAATGCAGGCATTAGTGCATGTGAGAGGGGCGGTGAATGGCAGATGGCCCTGTACCTGTTGTCGCGGATGCCTGCAGCGCGCGTAGTACCCAATGAAGTGAGTTTCAATGCAGGCATCACTGCGTGTGCAAAGGTTGGCGAATGGCAGTTAGCCTTGTTGTTATTGTCTCGAATGCCTATTCCGAGCGTAATAAGTTTCAATGCGGGTATCAGCGCATGTGAGAAGGGTGGAGAAGGGCTTCTGGCACTGTGGCACGCGGCCTTGTACCTGTTGGCGCGGATGCCTGTGGAACGGGTGTTGCCTAACGAAATCAGTTTCAATGCAGCCATCAGCGCATGCGAGAAAGGCGGTGAGTGGCAGATGGCCTTGAATGTATTATGCCAAATGCCTTCAGCACGAGTGGTACCCAACGAAATCAGCTTCAATGCGTGCATCAGCGCATGCGAGAAGGGCCATGCCTGGGGGATGGCTGTTCACCTGCTGTCGCAAATGTCTGAAGCCCGAATCTTACCCACAGTGATCAGCTTCAGCGCCGGCATAAGCTCTTGTGAGAAGGCCGTAAAATGGCAAGTCGCCTTGTGCCTGTTGTCACGCATGCCTGCCGTCCGGCTTGTCCCCGACGGAATCAGTTTCAACGCGGGCATCAGCGCGTGCGAGAAGGCCAGTGAGTGGCAGACAGCGCTTTATCTGTTGTCGCAAATGCCTTCTGTGCGAACAGTGGCCGATGAAATCAGTTTCAATTCCGGTATCAGTGCATGCGACAAAGGCAGAGAATGGGAGATAGCTTTGTATCTGCTGTCGACAATGCCTGCAGCACAGGTCTTGCCCAGCCTGATCAGCTTCAGTTTGTGCATGAGTGCATGTGAGAAGGTCGCTATGTCTGCACCTGCTACAAAGCATGGTTGCTATCTGCAGCGCCAGAGCAACTCCAGGACAGTGGCAGGTAGACGGGGTGCCTGTGGCTGTAGACACACTTCGCGGTCTGTTGTGTCGGAGCCCAAAAGCCCCGTTGCACTTTGGAGCCCCGCTGCGAGAGGTATGGCTAGATGTGGGCAGATGCTGCCAGCACTCGTCATCCAGAAATAGAATCGACATGTATTCGGTGTATGGCTGCAGATGGGTAGGTTGGTAGTTTCTGCCAGTACCCAGTAATCGTTGTCCAGAAATGAAATGCATTCGTTGCGTGACGACAGAAGTCATTTCGTGAGGCTCCGCAACAGCCTCGATGCTACTTCTCGTACGTCTCCGCTCGATCTCTCAGCACCGAATCGAAGATACCCGCACAAAGCTTTTGGGGGAAGCTGAGGCGGGGGGACCGCTAGGGTGTTTCCCACTGCGTGCACCTTTTTCTGTGGCAGCTGGGCTCAAGCGACAGTCCCCCCGAAGCTCTTCCCCCTGAGCCTGGAGGCGGGAAATCTAAATCGCATTCCGATCCCCTCGAAGGATCACTAGAAGAACTCAATATGTACTTGTGAGAATTCAGCAATGTGTTGCTGCAGGTTACACTTCCAGACCCAAGGCAGGCAGTGTGTGTGTGTGTGCACTCGCAGGTGAACAGGGCAAACATTCACATTTGCAGTCTCCCGGCAGGCCGTGTGATCATGTCAAACGCCAAAGAGAGGGTCTTTCATGCTGCGAACCTTGATGCTGTCAACGCTGCGCATCCACATATGGCAAACCTGGCAAGCTTGAATCTGCTTTGCGAGTGATCGGTGCGCATTTGTTCAGCACCCCGATCCATCCTCGTTCGCTCATTTGCATGAAGCGCATGGTGGCGAACCGGATTGCTGTTCCACCCAGCAGCTGTGTAAGCCCGAGTGTTTGAAGTTTTGGGCCCCTGTCCGGACTGCACCGCCCTGGACACCACAAGAGCGGGCCGCGATGAAGCTCGGCGGCATGCAGCAGGGAAAGCAAACTGAAACTGAGCTACCCGCAGTATGGAAGCGGATCACACTGCGACAGGCTCCGAGGAGCTCCGAGCGCCTCCCGGGTGCTCAGGCAAAGATCGAAGAGCAAAGGGGCAGTTCGCAGCACGCAGGCCCAACTGTCCTGCCAGGTGCAGCGTTTTCAGACGCGGTTTTTCCTCGACCGAGTGGTCAGGGCCCGAGACGACGTGCGAAACGTGACTAAGCCATCTTGACTGCACAAGTGGAAGCGGCCGAGGTCTCAGTATGCAGCTCGGAAGCAGAGTCTGCACTCCTGTCAGAACGTTAAGCTCGATGGATGAACATGCCGCTGCCGTTGGTTGCGAGAGGCCTACAATACCCCCGTTTTCCGGAAGACCAAGTGCCGATCTCGGAGTGGAGACAACGAGGAGGAAGAGCTGTTAGCGGGTTTTCCTGAGGAGAAATGACCTCGCAGAGAAATGGGACAACCTGGGATTTTCAATCCGCCCACTGAACGGGCATGTGAGGTGTCTCGGACCAGAGCTTCCGAAGGGACACTTCGGGTTTCAGCCTCCTTGAGATCCGCGCTGAGGTATACTTGGTCCGACGGTAGCTGGGACTCTGGAGTCTTCGTGCCAGCTCCGTATCAGCTTATGCACATCAATGCAGGACCCTACTTCGTTTTTTCTTCTTGAAGCAACGAAGTAGCAAAGAGTCACGGACTGGGGCCCTCGGTGAGCCCACGCGCAGGCGCTCTGCACTACGGTGTGTCGTGCTTTGAGGGCATGAAGGCCCAAGAAGGGTCGCAACTGGACGGAATAGCCCGTCGTGTGCGCACAGTACCTGCAGTGTCTGTCATTTCGAAGGCCTTCTCTTGCAAAGACGGAAAGATTCGTCTGCTGAATCCAGAGCTTAATGCGAAGCGCATGCAGAAGGGCGCAGGGGCCCTCTTGTCGCCTGGAAGCAGTCATGTCATGTCGTAGTGCAGGCTAGAGTCGGCTAGAGTCGCTTGAGGCGGACGTTCAGCGAAGCGAAGCAATCGCTCAAAGTGCAGCTAAGGATGCCTGAGGTGCCCACAGACATGTTTGTTACGGCAGTGATGGAGGCAGTGCAGCGCAACAAGGAGTTCGTGCCCCCCTACGGCAGCCTGGTAGAGCTTAAACATTAGTTCTCCCGCGACCGGAGGTTCAGACAAAATGTCCAGGGAGGGTGTCGGGTGCCGTGTAAATCCATTGCTCCACTGGTATGATGTCCAAGGTAACAATGCCTCGATGTATGTGCGCCCGCTGCTGTTTGCCAGCGGACAGATGCTTGGGCTGGCACCTTTGGCCAGCGAATACACCTTCTTCGTGACCGTCCTCCCAGCTGGAGGATACTTCGGCAAAGGCAGCGAGGTGGGAGTCAAGGCGTGGTTCCACATGTCACATGTCGGTCGGAGAGACGAATTGCTCTAAAAAGATGTCAAGCAAAATGCTAATGGGTACACTAGGCGGGCATGATCGTTTCTCATTGACACCTGACCTTGTTGTCACAGGAGGCTAGTAGTTCCGGCATTGGACCAGACGAAACGACATCGACACATGACATGTGGAGCGAAGGGTTTGTTCAGAACATATTGGCAAGCTTGTCGTATGCCTGCCTGAGCTTCCGCAATAGGAAACCCATCATCAGAAGCTTCACTTAGCGCACCTGAGCGCTCGTGCTGCGGTGGTCGAGTTCAACAGCATTCCTGGACCAGTCTTCCAGGGCTCTTTTCCAAATGTTCCGTGTCGTTATTGGAGGTCTTGCTGTGTCGCTTTCCCACCGGCGGTAGCGGTGATCTGTGCGGGAAACTGCCGTCGCAGGCGTTGGTTAGCACCAATCATGATCGCGCTGCTCCGAAGGGCTTGGGAGCCGTCAAGGCAGCTGGAAACTATGCGGCGGATCTCTCGCCCGTCCATGGCGCTCATGCCCAGGGCTACAACACAACACTCTACCTCGATGCGAAGCAGGGGAAGTACGTGGAGGAATTCTCCGTGTGCAACTTCGTGGGCATTACGAAGGACGAAGCATCATGCCGAATCATGCGTCTGCTGCGTTTGTACTTGGAGGAACTATGGAGTCGCCCGTCTATGCTGCCAAGTAGTAAGAGCGGGGCACAGGGAGCTCAAAGACGGTGAGAGTAAGGCAAATCAGTACTTCAAGCACACAACTATACAGTACAACGACACGGGGTGAATCAATCAACTCTAGACTATTCGTGAGACTATGGAGTCCAACAGCGGCAGCTTCTGAGCGAACTTCGGATGCCTCTCCGCATTGAACTCTGTAGCGCAGCATAACCCAGTTCTGCTGCTGGTCCTCTCTATACATATGTCTCCTAATTATCGGCTAGGTAGGTCTGGAATTGGGGGATCAGTTTTGCGATCGTAAGAACTGCCCTGAGGCCATTTATCCGTGGCCATTTTGGCACGAGCCGATCGGCCGTGCCCAAAAGAACCCACCCACTCCGCCCTTTTCTGTTCTT